ATTTTCTATTCATTTATCCCAAAAAATTATATATTTTAATTAAATAGTAAAAAAAAAACAATGAGTGACCTTATTCATTGTAATATGTAACATACATTAGTTGAATCATTTCAAGTGGGCTATACATAGTCGTTTTTATATTACTAGAGTTTCCATGTAAAAAAACCTCACATCTCTAATAAGCTAGTCTCAACTTATCTTATATATATACTTGTAATTGTAATAATTTTATAGAATGATAAGACACTAAACTCTATTTCTTTACCAACATAAATGTTCTGGCCTACAACACTAATAATAATAACTATAATCAGATATGTGGTTGAATAATTAAGATTTTCTCTTCTTATTATTAGTTCATATTTAAATGCATAAAATTTGATATGCTTGCTTCTCTTAGAATATATTTGCTCATTTAGACCAGTGAAAATTCACTTTAACAATGGTAAGCATGCAATACAAATGCACTCAATTTGGATCTTATAAATTAAAAATTTTTTATCTTTAACTTTCTATCAAATAAATGGGTATATAATATTCATATGCTTACTTCTCTAGTAATATATTTTGTTAACTAGCTAAATAAACTCACTCTAAATATTTTAAATAGCCGAGAAGTAATATAAATCATTAAATAGAGTGTTATGTATTTTAGCTAAAAATAAGAAAAATGATATAAAAAAATTATAAATATGTCCGCTTTCTTCACATGAAAGAAACTTACACTTGGAGTTGGAGAGAGCTCATAAATAAATAAATAAATAAATCTTAAAATTTTGCCTAACAATTGATACCAATATTTGCCAATAAATTTTATTCTCCTGATCTCAAATGGCCATCAGTACATTTGCCCAAGATATGTTAAATGGCGTATGCTCATTTTTTAATTGAGGCTCGTGTCATGACTATGAGGGTCAAGGGGGTAGGTTGTAATTTTCTTACTTCTTTCATTGAGAGGATGAATTATCCATCACTGGTGTACTTTTGTGCTTTCTATTTATTTGCTTAAAATTCTTTTTGTGATTATTAAAGGCTTCATCTGTAGATATTTGTACTTTCACACGATGGATCAAGTTAGCGTATGAATGAACCATATATCGCATGGGTTCTCAGTAAAAGGAGACATGATGAAGCCCACCAAGAAAAATTCCTCTAAGCAATTTAAGATCCACCCTTAAAATTTATTAAGCCTTAGTAGAAAATCTTTGAAAGTATTCTTTATGGGACTCAGTTTCACTTTGGAGAATTCCTGAGAGGTGAAAAAAATCCTTAACAATTCTCTCATTGATAATAAATTGTTTGGCGAACACTTTGGAAAATTTAACGCATAAAAGAATGGCTTTAGATGGAAGCGAATAGAATCATATTTGAGCTTACCCTTTGAGCGTATTATGAAAAACTTGGTAGAAGAGAGCATCTGAGGGTAGTTGGATGTACATAATGATTATGTATTGATTATTATGCTCATAGGGGTAGGGCATCCTATTGTATGAAACAATGCTTGGTAATTTGAAGCCTATCGAAATGGGATGTTGAAGAATGGATTCAGTCAGAGCTGACGACTCCTCGAAATCACACTGATGAAGAGGTTACCTTCCACCTATCTTGAGGAATTCTTCTTAGACCAATCATCATAATTCATGATGTAAAACATTGCATGTGAGTTCAATAATATGAACTTGGGCCAAGTTCTCGGCGACACCTCAAGGAATACAAATTAACCGACCTGTGCGAGAAGAGTATGAAGAGGTAGATGTGTTAACAAGGTTGATATGGTCCTGTGACCTGGGGTGACCCCTTGACTATTGAAGGAATCTCTATATGAAGATGTTCAGGTTAAAAATCCTTAGCTAGTGGTGGATCTTGAGGAAGAAGAGTTGCCTCTTATTATTCCAACATTAGTTGTTAGGTCTCTCATTAAAGTTGAAGGATCTTGTCATGAGATTCCTCCATTTTTTGAATGCGATCTTTTATGGATGGTCCTAATGTTCCTTCTCCAGCAGGGTTTCACCCATCGGGGAAAAGAGAGGAAGACATCTAGTCTCTGGTTCATAGACTGATTCCTGGACTGATTTGTGTTGGAGCGGGAGGATCTTAGGGTATAATTACTATGCATATTGGCCATTAAAGTAGTGCTTCAGCTAGTGGGATTGATGTTCTCACATATTGTGTCAAACTATTATGAGTTAGAATATATGCTGCAATAGAGTGAGAAGATTATTTGTTTTAATGTTGTATGTATATCCATCACACAAATATATAACTCAAAAATACAAGGGTTTTTATGTCGAAAATCCTTAAAAGGAAAAAACCATAGGGTCAGGACCAGTTGAAAAGATTCCACTAGTATTTGAATGAGTTATAGGGATTTTCCAGTCTCAAAACATGAGGATGGTAAAATTATAATAATTTGGAGAGTTGGGCAGAAATCTAGCATCAATAAGCGGCAAGGCCAAAATTTGGTGACAGTCGGTGGCCGGATGTTAATCTGGCGATGATCGATGGCCGAGAAGAAGTCCAATGATGGATGGTAGCTAAGTACAAGTTTGGCGATTGTTTGTGGTTTGCCAGTGGTCGAGGAGGAGTTTGGTGGAAAGAGAGATATCATATTTCTTTCTTTTTGTCCCTCTTTCTCATTTATTATCCTTTTTTTGGTAAAGAATAGGGGGTCTGTTTATAATTTTATGGGAGTGGCATGGCTAGTAAATTGTGAGAAGATCAAAGGCATGATGGGAGTGTTTCAGATGGATGGTCGATATTGACTCCCTTGGTCATGGATTGTTTATTATGTATTTGAGTGCCTTAATGATGTTAGAATTTGATGATCTTGGGTACAATTGATTTGTTTAGTTGAGCCACTTGATTTGACTATAAACATGTAATATTTGAATATCATTTGATCATCCAACATATGTTTTGAAGCTAACTAAACATGTTTTGGGTCCTTGATTTAGACCTATTGGGGCTCCAATTTGAACGAATTTGGTGTTGTTGGGTTCAACTTTCTGAAATGTTATGTTCGACTATAATTTTGTCGAAATTGGTTGTTCGGATGGACCCAAAATTAATTTTGGAAGTTTCTTATTAAACTTTGCCTCAAGATTCATGCCCGATCAATATAATTTTTTAATGATATATCAGAGACCAAGGCTTATATTGGAATTTTTTTCTTCTGTTTATTACTACTATAAAGAGAACAACAGATCATACCACCAATAATTTCTTGAAGATAACTCCAACATCATAAGACTCTTGTGACATTCATCATGGAAGCCAACATTTATTATTTATACCTACTACATTATATCACTGTCTTCCCTAGTTAGAAGTACATCGTTTATAAATTACAAAACATGTTAGAAAAATCATTTAAATAGGGTTAAGCTTTATGATTTTTTTCATATCAAAATATTCATGTCAAAAATTTTTGAGTTTCTCAAGACGTGTTCTCAACTTATCTTATATATACGTGTGCAAGATGTTTATACATTGATAATAAAGGTTGTAAGGATCGGATCATACAACGAACTAGAAGTAGGAGATGTTCACGGTTTGAAGGATTGATTTGGGTTGAATCATATGATGTAATAATTTTTTTTTAAATAATAATTACACAATACTTTCAAATATGTGACAATGAATGCTCCAAATGTATCTATAGGAAAACCTAGGTGTTGGTGGACCGGTGGTTAAAATTTTGCAATAAGTTGCTGAAATTCTTCATATGTAACAACTACGACATTGACCTATGTGAGAGGTTCCATTGAGATTTCCACAACTGTTTGGAGCTTGAAAGAGCTCATTCACTGCCATTGTGATCTTCATTCCATTAGCATAAACACAAGCAAAATCCTGGCAATCATTTATACATGAGACATTGCCATGAAAAGCACTTACCTTGTCGGGGTGACTAACATGTACTCAATACCCTCCAAGTTTGTGAAATGAATCCCTAATAGTGTGCAAATCATTCCAAGTTTCCATTTGTCGTTAGATCCAGGGTCCTATTCGCGATTACATTCAGACATGGTATGCTTGTCATCGTTGGTTGCATCCGATGTAGCCGTAGCATCAGACATTGGATCACACGAGCCCTTCTCATTATGCTCCAGGTTATCATGATCGAGCTCCGCCTGAGCAAATAGAGTCGAAACCTACTGGAATCCCCAACTATCAAGGGACAGACCTAGCTTACTTTTCAAAATAGTAGAAATTGAGCTACTTGCCTAGTTCAAAATGTCAGGTAACGGAGTCCCTATAGTGTCTGAAACCTATTGTAATGACTGGGCACAATTTCGACTAGCAACTTTCACATATCAATATTTTTTGCTTCTCTTGCGTGCTTAGCGGAGTGATTCTTCAAAATAATTTCCGATTCGTTGATCCAACATAACCGAATGCCAGACCAATTCATTGTTCAAACGGTTGAACCGACCGATCTGGTCCGATTTTTAAAATCCTGGTAATAATACAATGAATCCTACCTTTACTGACATGAATGCTTCAACACAAATTATATATAATAAAGTTGTGGTCAAAGTCAAGGTTAAAGAATTGAGTGTTTTATTATCTCATTATTAGTTCAAATTTGAGAGCACTAACTTAAATTAAATTTATTCATTTTTACATTCCCATAAATATTCTGAAAATTGTTAAAATCTATTATGAGATGAATATAAAATAAAATTTAAATATTTTTTTTAGATATTATGTTTGGCAAAAAATAAGTTTAATGATTATGATATCTAAGTGAAGTTTAATCAGCATATTCTGCTAATTATTTTAATAATTGCGCTGTGACTTATTAATCCTCTTAAATTAATCAGACGTGACTGTCGCAAACATGGCTCTTCAAACTCCTTGTAAACGGGCGTTGACCACCACCTGCTAGTGTTAAACCCCCTATCGCCATTCATTTCGGAAAAAAATCAAAATCAAAATCATTGAATTTATTTTTAGCAAATTCAATATAAAATTTCAGACCCATCGATCCGACTGTCCCAGCCCTTCGTGTTATTGCCAAATCGTTACATTGGCATGTGTTGCCATCCTTATGGACGCCACAATATAAAATCGCATCTGCCCACCACGTTCCCGGCTGGACCGATATGTTAATGCCAACGCCGAATCCTTCCCTGTAATCCACCGACGCGGCGGTATTATATTCGGCGTATAAACATCCAATTCACACCGTCCAAATATCGAGAATTCCGCTACCACTGCTCTCCGCCCTCCGTTCTTTCCCGCCATTGCTTTTGTCGTAGAAGCAGACGAGAGAGACATAGAGATACGGCGAAGGAGGAGGAGATTGAATGAGGCAGGAGGCAAAGAGGTTGGGCCTGCCGTCGACGAGATCCAGTCATGGATCTCGCCGGAGGAAGATTCAAAAGACTTTCAATAATGTCAAGATCACGATCCTCTGCGGCCTCGTCACTATCGTCGTTCTACGCGGTACAATTGGCTTAGGTAATCTCGCTGCCGTTGTGGATGGAGAGTCCAACCAGAAGGAAGTCGAAGACATCGAGCGCATCCTCCGCGAGATTCGCTCTGATTCCGACCCCGATGAAGACGGCATCCCTCAGTTCTCTGAAGCCGTCGTCGCCGCAGGTAACATTACGACTGCTGACAACGTCACTCTATCCGGTTCCGACGCCGCATCTTATGTCTTCGGAAAGAGCTACACGCTCGGCCCTAAGATTGCAAACTGGGACCAGCAGCGGGAGCAGTGGCAGATCCAGAACCCGGGATTCCCCAGCCAAATCGCTGACGGAAAGCCGAAGATATTGCTTGTCACTGGATCGCCTCCTAATCCTTGTGATAACCCGATTGGTGATCATTATCTCCTTAAGGCTACCAAGAATAAGATTGACTACTGCCGCCTTCACGGAATTGAGATTGTGTACAACATGGCTCACCTTGACCGCGAGCTCGCCGGATACTGGGCGAAGCTTCCCCTATTACGCCGCTTGATGCTTTCTCATCCGGAGGTGGAGTGGATCTGGTGGATGGACAGCGATGCACTCTTCACCGACATGGATTTCGAGATCCCCATGAGCAAATACACGGGATATAATCTTGTAATCCACGGCTACCCGGATCTCCTCTTCGAACAGCATTCCTGGATCGCGCTCAACACCGGGAGTTTCCTCTTCCGGAACTGCCAGTGGTCGCTGGATCTGCTTGATGCCTGGGCTCCAATGGGGCCGAAGGGGCCTGTGAGGGACGAGGCTGGTCGTCTTCTTACTGCCAATTTGAAGGGAAGGCCGGCATTTGAGGCGGATGACCAGTCTGCGCTCATATACCTTCTCCTTGCTCAGCAGGATAAGTGGGGGAATAAAGTTTACGTTGAGAATTCTTATTACCTCCATGGATTCTGGGCGGGATTGGTGGATAAGTATGAGGAGATGATGGAGAAGCACCACCCTGGTTTGGGTGACGAAAGATGGCCTTTTGTCACTCATTTTGTTGGATGCAAGCCCTGCGGTAGCTATGGGGATTATCCAGTTGAGAGATGCATCAGTAGCATGGAGAGAGCTTTCAATTTTGCAGATAACCAAGTTCTAAGAATTTACGGTTTCGCACATAGAAGGCTGTCGAGTTCGAAGATTAGGAGGATCAGAAATGAGACAGTAACTCCTTTGGATATCAAGAAGCGGATAAATGTCCAGGACAGGATAATCAGCAGCTGATCAGATTAAGCAGGGTTAAGATCGAATTCAATTGCCATCGAAGGTTAGTTCGATGGCTCTATTATTTGATATGAAGTTTGACTGATCGGAATATGTAACTTAAGTTTCTGATCTTTACTTTTTTTTAATCTTTTGATAGCATTTTGATGTCGTGTTCTATATCTGTTAAGCGGATAATTGTCTTGGAAAGGAGATACAAGAAATGAAATTAATTTTTTCAATCTTTTGTTTTTTTATACTTTTTAAGTATCTGCCTAAATGTGGAATTCCTCCAGCAGGCATTCATTCATTTCAAGATAAAAAGCTAAATCTTAGTTCCTTTTTTTGTATTAAACATGTGGAAATGTCACTTATTTGATTTTCCAAATTTTCAGTCATTTGAGTTTCCTAATTCTAGCGAGGTATTATTTGTAGGTTGCCGGATTTAATTGCAGCATTCATTAAAAAATTAGAAATGATTTCTAACTTGAGAAATGATATAAACACTTTTTTGTTATGATGCAGAATCTGATCTTCCTCTGCACATTCAAGTTTGAATTTGAAGTATCCCTAGAAGAAATCTAATTTTTATTTGAAGTTGAATTTTTTTTTTATCATATTTAACTTGCCTGAAATGTCATCTATACAAGCAAATTTAATGAAATATTTATCACTAAAAACCAGCCCGATTTATCTAACATATAATGATCTTTATGCTTCTTAATAGCTATAAAAGTAGTAGTAGATTGTTTATGGGTATGGATCTTCTTCTCCGTGTAAAAGATTTTGTCTTGTTGAGTTTGAGGGAGTTGGAGACAACAATGAAGAGGTGCGACTATGATAGGTGCGACTATGATAGGTTATGTATGATGTTGTTTGGTCTTATAACAGTAGGATGTTTTGTAAGGAGGTTGAGAGGTGGCCTGACAACCTTTTGTGAAGGAAAAAATTATTCTGTTCGGACAACGTATCGAGGGTACCTAGTGGTACCGCGGTCGGTATCGAGCGCCCAGTGATGTGGCATTTTTTTATTGGTCTCTGGACACATTCGATGTCCAGATGCAATAATCACTCCTATTGAAGTAGTTGGTGTCTAGTTGGTCGATAGCATGCATCAACTAGAGACTGACAATGGCACAAGAAGCTTACGCAATTGAAGGCATAGTTTGGATGTAAGCAAGAAGAGGGACCTTAGGCCGGCGGTTGTAGGGGTGATGTCACGACCCAACCCGATCGGGACGGATCCCGCTCGCATCGGGTCGTGGGGCCTGAACATTCAGACTGACTGAACTGATTCCAGGATATGACTTTGGAATTTGTTTCAGAACTTTCTTCCAAACATATAGACAAAAACAGACGCACAGAGCAACTATAAACATCAAATGCAGCGGAACAGATCATCTATCTTTTTCTTCTTCCTAAAAAGAATCATGTATAAGTACAGCTCATGGCTTTCAGACAGAAAGAAAAGCAGAACAGAAAAGCCATGACTGTACAAAAATCAAAAAGACAAAAATACCTATAACAGATCAGACTCTGAACTTCTACTCCTGGACTTCTTTCCCCTTCCCAGAACCTGAAAATCACGCAGAAAACAAGGATGAGCTACAACAGCTCAGCAAGACAACAAACCTCCAATCAAAATCCTCAGAGTCCACATCAAACACATCAGACAGAAATCCAAACAGAAATCGGAACAGAATCGTATATCAAATCAGAACAGAATCAGAATCGTACAGATCAGATCAAATCAGAATAGAACAGAAATACATCATATCAGAACTAACAGAACGTACGGAAATCAGAAATCAGATATAAGAGTAAATCATATCCAATCAGAAGTCATATCAGAACAGACAGAATCGTACGGAAATCAGAATCATATCATATCAGAACAGAACAAAATCATACATCAGAATCAGAATACAGATCAGAAATCAGAAATCATATCAATTCAGAACATATCAGAAGTCAGAACAGATTAAATCAGAACAAATATTTCAGAACAGATCTTCCTTCCATATTTCAGTACTTCCCCTTATATCTCCCTTATGCATACAGCACCAGAACTTCTCCTTATAACTCCCTTGTGCGTACAGCACCAGAACTTCCCCTTATAGCTCCCAATTGTGCTCATAGCACCAGAACAGAACATATATATAGAATTTCAGAACTTCACAGAACTTCTCAGAACTTTTCCTTATAGCTCCCTTGTGCTTACAACACCTTCCCCTTATAGGTCCCAAAAGCATACAAATTCATAATATATCATTTCAGCGCAAATCCGGACAATTTCAGAAATCGTACGAAAATTCGGCAGCGTAACGGCAGTATACGGAATTTACACAAAATTGACAGAATCAGAATTTTACCAAATTACCACAGAACATTCACAACAATAATATAAGACTTTTATTCTACTGCCACAACATTTTTAGACATCGTCAAAAATTACAGTCGAAAGAAAACACCGCGGAAACAAAAATATTCGGTCAAAATTCTCCAGAAAATAATCAAAATGTGCACACTCGGCACCTCAGAAACATATCAAAAGTTACGCGGTAAAAACTGAACCAATCGGAAAATACGGACGAAATTCGCTAACAAAAACGAAATCCGGACAGAAAAGTCGTTCAAACTTCACCGTTCTGAAAATTGAGAAAGGTGGAATGTGTCTTACCTTGCGTACAACACTTTCATGAACAATCTCGTCGGAAGAAAACGGCCCGGCGTCGTCCGAAAATTAGCTTTTCCAAAATTGCCCTCGAGCTTCTCTCTCCTCGACTGAATTTAGATATTTATTTTGATTTTCTCTCTCTTCAAAATGAGCTGATTTCAGCTAAATAATACACTGATCGGCCCGGCCGATCGCACGATCGTCCTGGACGATCTGATCAAATTCCACTTTGTCCTGGGACTATTTTGCAGG